TGAGCAAACCAGTGTGAGCTTTGTGCAGCCGCTGGCATCACACGGGATTTAGCTCTTGCCAATCTTAAAACTGCAGGTTTTATTTTGGGGGGTGGGGAGGGGACGTATTTTTAGCACCTGTAATTGGCAATGCAAATTCTAAAGGACGAAGACAAAATTTGATGAAGTTGGAGAATCTAGAATAGGACTGGATTTAAGTGCCTACAGAGAGATTAATTTGTCTCCAAATTAAGAATCACTCATGCTCTTCCTCCAAATCTTTCAAAAATGTTGTAGTATACTGTAGTGAACAGTGCCATCTGATCCCCAAGCATTCAAAATGAGCAACGTTTGCTAGTATGTTCCAGGCAGCTACATCATCGTTGTGAGATGAAGGGCTACAGTTCTGATGCCAGTTCTGTAGTTCATGCTACAGTTTTGATACCATTGAGAACAGGTGGAGAAGTGCAGGCCCTGAGGCTGCCTCTGGAAATTCAAGGCCAGAAAAGTAGAAAATGAGAATTATAATTCTTTAGCCATTCCTAGCATGGAATGCAGGAGAAACGTGCCTTAAAGACTGAGCCCTAAAATAGAATTTGGATTACGCAAAAAGTGTTAAAATAGCTCTTGAACTCAAAACTTCCAAAAGCCTTGCAGGCCATTTTGAATTCAAAACATATTTTGGGTTGTGGAAAATTGAAATATTTTATGCACCATAAAAACCAGGGAAAACATGAAAATAGCCTGAACTGTCTTCATCCATCTATTCTCTATCCTTGCCTGCCCACTGCACTCCCCCCTCCAACAAACCAAGAGCAGTTCCTGTCCAGTCCTCATTTGGGCAACAAAATGTATTGAGCTCAATTGATGCTTGATAACTGCCAGGGTGCCTGAGAAGCTTCCTCAAGGTAAGTGCGTGGCAGACCCAGCTCCCTTCTCCGCCTCTCAAGAGGGAAGAGATGGAAGGTCAGTCTGATCTTCTTCGTTTCAACTCGAAAGGCAGGAAGACAGAAGGAAAACCAGAGCCTAACTGCAAAGATGGCACTTCTTTTTGAGACGTATGTACAAAAGCCTAGTTTAAAACCAATTATATTTACTATATTTTTTTAAAAAAAATTCTTGGGCCCCTGCAGTTTTGCCAGGCATGAGTTATGAATTTATCAAGCATTCGCTTCAACTTTAACAGCTTTTCAAAAACAATATGCTGAAGTCTCGCCAGGACTGAACCCTCATCCAATTGGCCTAGCTGTCTTTTAACTGGCCCCAGGATGCATGGCATAAGAACAGAGGAGGGGAGGACCAAGCGGATGCACCCCCCCAAGCAGGGATGATCACAGAGAAAAGACAACATTCTCAGGCGATTTCTTCTCTATCAAACATTGGGTTGTTTTTGTTTATTCTTTGAAACTTGACAAGCACTCTAACATCTGTACTTGTGGAAACATCACAAGGAAACAAACAAGAATTCTAGACTTTTTTCTTCCTTTTAAACCTTATTAAAAATGAGGTTGGTCCTAAAAATATAGAAAGAAATCAATTTAAATTCACAAAAAACTGTACATTATCAAAAATTCACTAAAACAAACACATTTGGTTATTTCATATAAAAAAGTTTGATTCCCCCCTCCCCTTCCTGCTGTTCAGAACATCTCACAGGATGATGGGTTAGTTGGTTCCTTTCCAATACCAAATTAAGATGAAAGGGGAAGAAAAAGCCAGTGGTTGAATGATAAGGCCAATTCTAATTGCAATTCTTAAATTAAATTCCAAAAACCATGTAACTTTCAATAAACAAGTTCTTTTTTTAATAAACTGATTGAATAGACCATATCCCTTAATGACGATCAAGATTAGGTCAAACCTGGATTCCTTCTTTTAAGGAGTGTGAGGCTTTGAATCTATAAATCTATTGTTTCTATAACAAAAAAGAAACACCAAAACCATGAAACTCTAAATTAAAAACCAAAAAATTAACACCTCCAACTCTAGAGTTCTCTCATGACTGATGAAAAAAAACAAACCCCAAATGATCCAGGGGGGAAAAAAATACTAAAAACCCACCAAAAGAAGTTTTGTTACAGCACATTTAGATAAAATATAAATATTTATGCATAATATAAAGTCAGTTTCAAATAGACTTCAACTCTACCTCTTTATTTTTAAAAGCCAAAAAACAAAAACAAAAAAATCCCCAAATTTAAAATAAAATAAAGATTGAGGTTATTTGATATAAAAAGGCTACGTTTTTGTTGAAAACAACTGGGTGGGAAAGTGAGGCTGGGGTGGAGGAAGCACAGTAAGGGAGGTTTCCGTCTCCAGGTTTACATCACCTGTGGTTACATTATACTTACATCAGTGCTCTTGCAATTGGATTGGTTGACGCGGATTGAGGCGAAAGCACCCACACACGTGCACACACATTCACACATACCCTTATATGTCACTCCGATGTAGCACAGGTGGATATCGGGAAGAAAGCCATCTCCTAATAGGACCCTGCCAGCCAAGTGTCTGCCCCAAGTGATACCCGTAATTATAATGGTTTGAGGAGCCAGGCTGGATATGAAAGCAGCAAGGGAGGAAAGGTTCCAGGGGGTGGCTTTCTAACGCCTCTGATCCACCGGAAGCGGTGGAAGGAAAATGGAAGAACCAAGTTGTTTCCTCTGAACAGTCAACCGATGCCTTCTGGAAGAGGCATCGGAATAGGGCTTGCCCAATCCCCTCCTTCTGAGAGCAGAAACTGGCCAAGGGCCAAACGGCAGGGCCCTCTTTGTAGTGCGTGTGGGCGATGGGTTTTTCCCAGTCTGCAGCTCCTGAAAAGAGCCCAGGCCAGGGAACAGCTGCTCTGGCAACTCTGGCATTCAGTGGGGGATGGGATCTCCTGGATCATATTGGAACACAGGTTGCAAACAGGACTCAACCTATCATCAGAGAATGACTGAAAGAGAGAGGTTACACTGGGACTGAAAAAGAATCGGCCAATTTATCTTGCCTTTCGTTCAATAAAAGTTCTTTTACTGGGACAGGTTTTTTTTTCCTTTTAAAGGACCAACCAGCCAACTGGCAAATGCACTGGCACGCATGTGTGTATAGACACACATATACATACACAGGCACATATGGAGATGGAGCCTTTGTTGTGACCACAATCTACTTCTTGCTTCAATAAGAGACAAACAAGGGAGGGAACGACTTAAGAGGAGATTGGCTTCAACCACTATTTGAATCTGGCAAGTCTCTAGCACCAGACACCCAAGTGCACAGGAACAAAGGACAAACTGGTAAAAAGGATGTGCAGGAAAAATTATGGTTGAACTAAATCAAAAATTTTCTTCCTCCTTTCAAAACATTCAAGACAATGTTCGAATATGGAATAGGTTGAAATATTCACCAGTGGTTTGTGTATAAATTAAATACTATATAGAAAATGTAGACCAAAAAGAGAAGGAAACACGTATGAACAGGTCTGGATCTTTAAACAAGTCAGCTATGGGTACTACACAAAGATGTCCAGCTGAGCACTGCTCCATTTCCAATTTTTCTGCTTCCTGTTTAAAGGCATGAAGCAATAACTTATATCCCACATCATGAGATGCAAAGGTTTCCATTTTGCCTTCACTTGCCTTATAACCCAAAGCTGCATCTAGGCTAAGTCTTAGCTTTGATAATCAAAGAAAGCTGCACTTTATATTAAAATATGGTGCCGAAATAGAAACCTAACATAGAAGGAAACAGTGACAATCCTCTATCATCTTGTTGAAGTCCAGATACCTATTGAAGAATGAAAGGATTGTACTCCTCCCATTACAATGGAGACAATCTCACAACTTTCTCAGAAGGGAAGCAACCTTACAATAGATTATGGTAGTCACATGCCACAGCAGGAAACAAACAGTCCTGCCACACGTACACACAGAGGGCAGATCAAGCTTTGTAGACAGAAGCCATCCCTGAGGAATAACACTGGGGCAAAGTTGGATGGGGAGAGCTGTGGACATTCAAATAAGGATGAGATCCCATAAGAAGAACTGGCACCAACCATCCAAAAGCCAGTTCCTCTAAGGATGCTGACTGGAGCAGCCCAGTTTTGCAAGCTTGGGTACTTTGGTCCCCCATAACCCCAGTGAGTCATTCCAGCATATTGCCCACTATTGGAGGGGAAATGAACTGTATGAACATTAGACAGAGGAACTTCTGTCTATAGTAATTTCATTGACTGCCCCTGTGGAGAGATCAGGAAGGGGAAGAGTGTAAAGATTAGTCCAAGTTAATCATCATTTGCACACCTAGAGACCAATACAATCTGAGTGATTCTGGCTGCTTAGTGGATAATTGCTGTGTGGGTTATTTCCATTTTGTTGCATTATTTCCTTAGAAATATTTGGAGTAACTCAGTATCTCTGAGCAACAGTGGGTTAAATGTGATAGTTGATGGAAATTAACCTAATTGGGGGATATAACCCCACCCACTCCTAACTTTTCATACACAGGCTCGTATTTGGCTACCTCTCCAGCGAAGGGGGGCATCTTCCTTGACTTGAAGGACTGAGCACTTTCAAAGGGAGTGCACCCTCACGGGCAGCGCCCCTCAACATCCCTTCCCAATGCACATACCAACTCTAAACTCTACTCTCGGGTTCAGAAAAGGAAATTGGGCTAGAAAGAAAAAGGTTGGCCGCAGAAATGAAGGCTCATCTGAAAGGGGGGGAAAGTGGGGGTGGTGGTGTCGTGAGGCAGAGTTGGGAGGGGCAAGGGGAAGAGAAGCAGCATGTTTTAATTTTGCCAAGGTTGTCATTCCCAGAGGCAGGAGTGATCTGCTTTTATACATTTCAATGAGAATCTAAAAAGGAGGAGAACCTAACGTCCACATTACTGGCCATTAATGCATGGTACTGACACTGCACAGAAAAAAAGTGTTCTTACACATTCACTAAGAACTATTGCTATTATTAAATAGCCCCAGCTAAGGTGGGGATGTGGGTGGTGGTGGTGGTTGTTGTTTTTCCATTTTGAAAAAAGGAAAGATATATATATTTTATTTGGCTTATACAGTCAGAGTTTGTGTTGCTTGGAGTGAAGAGAATCAAGGCGTGATGTTAGATGCCAATCCAAGTCCAGTCATTGTGAAGGGGAAAAAATTAAATCAGCAGGTAGCAAGATGAGCTCCAGAAGAGACAAGTGTGCAGCCCAGGGTAAAAGGGGAGGCACTTTCCCCTTTGGCTCCTTGCACTTCTCCCCGTTCTGCCAGCTTCATGGGTTTGTCTCGTGTTTTCCCTGATAAAATTCCTCCCACCGGCTCTCAAAAAACTGGCGCATGGCCAGTCCCGCCTTGCCCACCTCTGACTCATCTTCATTAAAGGTCCGGCAGTTGTCAAACACCAGGACAGCATCGGCAGCAAACTCCTCACAACTGCTGTATCTGTGGACGACAAAAAGCAAGGGTGAGCGTAAAAGTACAGCACTGAGACACAGCAATGCCTATTATCGAGAATCTCCATTTTTCAAAAGCCCCACCCTCCTCTTTTCATGTCTTCTCACAACTGCTGCCAATTTTGGCACTTCTTTCTGAATTTAAAGTAGGCCATATATAATTATATTTAGGAACTCCCCAAAACAATCCCAGTCTGATATGCCTCTCTTCAAATAGGCACTAGGATGTTTTTGCCACAGCATCACTCTTTCTAAAAGCTAGACCACCAAGATAGCTAACACTTCCTCTCCCAAACTGAGAGAAATGGAAATCCCTGCCCTCCCCCCATCCTTACAGAAAGCCAGTCTAATCTGGTCTCATTAGATCTCCCCAGGGTTACCCTCCACCCTCCACCAGTTGCACAGCCCTGAAACGGATGGGAAGTGTGCGTATTCTTTGAGGGAACAGCAGTTATATCACTTACTAGGAACAAGCCAGCAGGCATGGGATCACAAAATGCATATCCTAGCTCCAACCAGAATAAAGGTATCACTTAACTATGATATAAATGTGTTCCCTGCAGCTCCTTTATGTTAACTGAAACAGTCGGTAACTTAAATGGTCACTTACTGACAGCCATATCTATTGATAGGGAAAGAAAGGGAAGGAAAAGGAGGGTCGTTTGGCAATTCCAAATGCTTTGCCCTGCCGTGTACTCACCCACCACGCAACAACCGGGCCCTCATGGTGGCAAAGTCCATGGGATTCTTGATGATCTTCCGGTAGCCAGGCACCAACCGGGGGTTAACAGGCTCCAAAAAAGGCCAAGCAGCTTCATGGGATTCCATCTCCATCAAGATGATCCTGACAACAGAAGAGCCAACACTAAGTGCCACTGAAGGGCATCATTCTGGCCAGAAGCGAGGAGTTATTTGCCCTCTTTTAATCAAGAAAGTCACTTTTAAGTGACAGCTCTCTCTGTCTCTCTATCTCTCTCTTCCTTCCTATTAACTTTTGGCAATGCATAACCCGAACCCGTCCCCACCTTTTCCAACACTCTCTGGGAAAAATGCCCCATCAGCCTCTCCCTGACCCTAATTGGCAGAGGAGAAACACCTACTCGCAGAAGGTCAGGTCAGCACTCTGGCCTCGGGGAGACACTCTTCTTCGTTTGGAGGGAGAGAGGCCTTCTCCTGAGTAGCGAGGGGATGTATTTGCCAGGACACTATGCTGTTGGGAGGCGGCTGCGGCTGCTGCCCGAGATCGAGGGCTGAGCTCTTCCTTTCCCCCAAAAGGCCCAGAAGTACCACTTTTCCGCTTCTTTCCCCGTCGTGGAGAGCCATACTCATCCTGATATCCCCCTTGCATCTGCATCATGAAAAAGTTGGGGAAGGGAAAAAGAGAAGAGAGAAACTATCATCAAGTCCTAGAGTAGGAGTCCACTTCAATGAAGTCAATTGTTCTGACCCAGCTCTCCAAACACAACAAAACCTCTGAAGTTAACTCAAAGATTCCTTTATTAGGAGTGCCGGCAGCCCCGGCAAAAAGTTTCTCTTTCACCGGAGGCTAACAAGTCTGTCCAGCAGGGAGATGAATAGCTGTCTGCCACATCTATTCATCTCCGCCCCCTGCCTTTTATCCCCAGAGCTAGGGTGGAGCTTTGTTAGCAGCGGTGGCTCTTCCTTCCCAAAGATCAACCCACGGATTTTCACTGCTCTCCTCTTCTCTGCCTTCTGCGCATCCACACCTCAGGCACTGGACCAGGGGTGGGTTTCAAAAATTGTTCGAACCTACTCTGTGGGCGTGGCCTCCTTTGTGTGGGAGTGGCTTGCTGCCCATGTGACCGGATGGAGTGGCTTGCCACCCATGTGACCGGATGGGAGTGGCCTGTCACCCATATGACCTGGTGGGAGTGGCCAAGATGATGTTATTACTAAATATTACTAATTACTAGATATTATTAATATTACTAGATCATTATTAATGCATAGATAACTGCGGGACATTACACACCCACCCACACCCACACCCACAAACTATGACAGTGCTAGGAAAACACCAAAAAAATAAAAATCCCCCCCCCCAAAAAAAAGACTGCCAATGAAACCAGTTTTTTTTTCCCTAAGCCTAAGAACAGGAAAGACAAAGTCACTGGAATAAAAACCATCAAGGCAATGTGGAAAATTATAAAGGACAGGCACTCACAGAACCATCAACCACCTCAGAATTACCTAAACAAGTAAGGTGACCAGATTTTCAGATTGGTAAAGAG